TCTGTCATTGAGTCAAATGTCGTGGTTTCGATTCTCCGCTGGTACGTGACAAGAAGTAGGGTCGTCTGTCAAGCTTCATGGGTTTTCTCCCACTGCTAAAGACCCCTGCGCACAAGTGAATTGTTGAAATAAAATTGAACCATACATGTATGTTAGACCACAAGCGACCTGGTTTGTGTTCAGTGGACGTTACCCCCCCTCTCTCTCTCTCTCTCTCTCTCTCTCTTGTGAAAACCTAAGGAAGCGACTTGTGTCGTGCCTGCCATTACACTAATATGCCGTGACATCTTATATTAACAAACCATTGCATTAGGTATGTTACAAAGCGGGATCTCTTGAATTACAAATTTTTATTTACCAAGCGCAGGCAATATGGAATATCAAATAACAAATAAGCGAGATATACAGATCTATTGAATTACAATTTGTTTAACAAGCACAGGCTAATATTCAATATCAAATGACAAATAAGAGGGATAATACAGATCTATTGAATTACGTTTTTGTTTTATCAAACTCGGGCTAAATGGAATATCGAATAACAAAATATCCTGTATAGCATTAGTTTTATTTATTAACCCTTTGATGTGGATGTAACGTATGAGATATTTGATTGAGGTTTGGTACGGATCAAGTTTGCGTTTCGTCGAATACTGTTAATATTTTTTCAACTGGCGTGGTTTCGAATCCCCGGTTGTACGTGACAAGGATTAGGGTCGCCTGTCCAACCTCGTGGGTTTTCTTTGGGTCCTCCGGTTTCCTCCCACTGCTAAGAACCCCTACGCGCAAACGAATTATTGAAATAAAATTAAACCATATGTTAGTCCCTAAATGGCCTAGTTTGTGTCGAGTGGACTTTAAACCCCATTTCTTTCTCTCTCACCGTTAATGTTTTAGAGAATTTAGGCCCTCTGTTGACTTAAAGGGGCACAAGGTGAGATTAGATAAAGAGTTAATAAAGATAACGTAAATAGAATATGCTGAATATTTCAGTCAAATTGCTCCTGCACTCTAAACCGAGATCAGCTTTTGAATTTTAGGCTAGCCTCGATCATCATTACTAAAGTCGGTACATTAAAAAAAAAAGTCTCGATTATCCACTTTTACGTTTAATTACTTTTTTAAAAAATGTATTCCAATCCGCTAAATATTGTAGGCTAGCGATGGCATAGAGAGTTGATTATGATGTGGATAAGTTGATTAATGTCTAATTAATAGTTTAGATACCATTTCAGACCGAAAGAAGACCTGCAATAGGCAGATTTAGCTCTTGTATAATGTATGTTTAAAATTAATTTTTTCTGGAATTTCTGTATGTTATAATTTGAGTTATACGATTGAAATTTACTGTTTTACATGGCAACAGTTATATTTAGTGAAAATACAGTTGTATTGAGTTCTGGAATCCAATATAAGAGTCGGACGAAAAGCCGCTGCCCGGACAAAATTTCCCTCCCAGCACACTGTATGGCGTATGCCTATCTTCATTAGCCCTGTCGGAGCAGATTTTCCGACATGGGTTCCCCTTGTCAGTGGTTCTAGTGCTGTCTTGTCGTTCGGATGGGACGAAAAAATGAGGTCCCGTGTATACTTTTGCTTGCACGTAAAAGATCCCCCGGCAGTTGGAATTCGATATAAGAGCGGGGCACAGTGCCGCTAACCGGGCAAAAGTTCCCTAATAGCACAATGTATGGCGTATTCCCGTCTTCATTATTCCAGTCGGAGCAGAAGGCTAAGACTTTAAACCCCATACTATTTCATTTCCTATTGCCAGTGGTTCTTTTACGTGTACACCAGACTTCGAATTTCCTCCAGCCGGCCAGAACGGCCAGAACTACTATGCGTTGTCAAACACCCCCCCCCCTCCTCCCCCTCTTCCTGCAACACTGAGAATTCGGAAACCAAGATGGAAATCCCGGAGAACTATCTTGCCCAATATCTGCATAGAACCCCGACCCCTGATTAGTAGGTCGGTGCCCAACACACTGTGCCACATTAAACAACAATCAATTGATTTAACAAGTACACCAATCCCCTTTTGTCTATAGTGCAATCCTCTAAAATATATCGATACAATCAATTCTTAATAGAATCAGATCTTAATCATCTACGTTCTGGTTTCGATCGACTACAATAACTCTGAAATCCGTAATGAACGAAACAGATGTTGTTTGTACAATCAACTCTCTCTTACACAATCAGAGAGAGAGAGAGAGAGAGAGAGAGAGAGATATTTAACGTTCACTCGACACAAACTAGGTCATTTCGGGACTAACATATAGTTCAATTTTTAATTCGCGTAGTTTTATTTTATTTTGTATTAACTGTGCCACAGAGTAAATACGAGACTAAGCTGCTTTCTCAGACAGAACCCGAAGAATGATAGAACCAGGAAGTCACTCCATATTTAGTATAAGATCTTCACATATTTCTTATTCTTTTATTTTTACCGATTTCTAAAGACAGCATCTCTTCTTAACAACTTTCCTTATATGTTATATTTTCCAGTAAATAAACATTTGGTGACGTTGCCCATTTACTTTAAACCCCCAAAAAATTGTTTATTTACTTTAATGTTCTTGAAAAAATTCTATGACGTATTTTTCTATTTGCATGTCTATACTGACCTCAAAGAAATTTGAAATGTTTGAACAACCAGACAAACACTTATACTTACAAGGATTCGTGTTTAAAGTTATAGTCCAAACAAACGAAATGAAATGGGGTTTGACGTCCTACTGTTCTGCTCCGACTGGGCTAATGAAGACGGATATACGCCATACAGTGTGATATGGGGAAAATTTTGCCAGGGAAAAGGGGACCACGACCTGCTGTTATATCGATTTTGTCGTAAACATTAAGCATAATTCGAGGATTTTGGGAAGTATGTATTGTCTTTCCGTTTAATCAAATTGTAATTTCATATTTATAATTTGTGAGTCTGAAACGTATTAGAACTGCATTACAATACAGGATACTAATTTTTAAACACGGAGACCATTCAGCGCAAAGATCTATTTTCGAAATAGACAGTTCTCAGTGTGCGGAAAGGGTGTAACATTTAAGCTCTTGGAGAAAGAGTGCCTATTTATTATGACACTTTTCGATTTGCTTTTGAAGTTCCAAATGCAAAACACTCATATTTGAATATTTCTTATACAAAGACACTAGCTAATGTGACGACTACTTTAAAACCAATAATGCGCGTTGACAGTTGACGAGAATATTAGAACGATGTTTGCTGAATTGATGGTCAATGGCCTCTCTTAATCGATTTGCAGGAAGAACCATATAAATGTTATGGACATTTCCAGAGGAGATCAAATCGACTGATGATGTATATTCGACGTTTTAGACATGCCGTCCTTATTCATTATCTATGCAATGTTCACATATAGGTAACAGAGGTCAATGGTTTGACCCACGGTACTGAATGTATGATATTTCATTGTTTGTCATAAGCGCTATTTTCCGTAGACGCCCCACCCCACCCCACCCCCCGTATAGGTAAGGTTACACTGACAGGAACTCCGCGGTGTAGTTAATGTTATCCGTAACCTACCAATGTACGTCAAATCCAGAAGATCCAAACCCTAAACAAATTTGGTTCGTCAAAATAGTTAAATCTTGACACGCCCCACTTAATTGACCATCTGTTTAAAAACATTTTATTTCATTTAATATTTAATATTCAACTTCCCAACGACACTTTGATTTACATGTAGCTTTCAAATGTTGTTGGCCCATTCCCAGATCAATCATTTTCGGAAATACACCACTCGTCCTGGAAGCCGAATTTGAGGTCAAATTCACACTTTGGATTAGTTACCAAATTAAAGAAATGGGGTTTAACGTCCGAGTTTTCTACACCAACATGACTAATTACGAATGACCTGCTATGAAGGAAATTGTGGGGAGCGGTGCTTCCGCATGTTCTTCATCGAATCCCATGTGTGAATAGTTCTTCTATGTGCACGAGTACACGTGTGGAAATCGGTTTATTTCCTCCTTCGAACAAATAGATGTATTACCTTACCAAAACCTCCGGCTTACGCCATTTTCACGTAGAAAATGGCTTGGAAATTCTGATAAGCTTTCTCTAACCGAGGACTTCCTGTTCAAGAAACCAGCGCCACACCCATTGAGCGCTGTACAACCCAAACTTAGACTGTCCGTCTACAGTTAACTCCCGAAGTATGAAAGAGGTGGACTTCTCTGTGTGCAGTATGAGCACCGTATTGACGTGATCATTTAATAATGTATTTATCTCCATGTTAACTAAAACCTTGATGATATATATAAAAACAATAATGACAGTAAAGACATAATGTTAATGTTATCGGACTATTATAAGTAGGGTGCCACTAACCAGCATGGGTGGCCCTGCAGGCCTGAATCCACGTCCAATTAATACATCAATAGACCATCACACTTCTTTAGTAGCTTGCTAATAGCATCAACCTTGATTTTAACTGTTTTTATAATTATATGCTATGAAATAAAATCTAGTTACGAGTATGCCATAACGGTAATGCCACACTTTTGTCTATCATTATATAAAAAATATCATCAGACATATTTAGATTCATCTTCTTATACAAAGAGATGTCAAATACATTAGTTTTATCATAACCGTTTTTAAATAGATATATACGAATCACAAATATATAATATTTCATTCTAAGTAGATCTTATTTCATTTATATATCATGTTTAATAACGACGTAACCTATTAATTGCTATTGTCATTGAGTAAACTGGCGTGGTTTCGATATCCCGGTTGTACGTGACAAGGAGTAGGGTCGCCTGCCCACCCCCTATTTTTTCTCCGAGTCCTCCGGTTTCCCCCACTGCTAAAGACCCCCTCCCTCTCTCCCTCTCTCCTCTTCTTCTATGTACGATTTTTTAATTTTCTTCTTCTTTTCCTTCTTTTAATATGTTATATTGATATATATGTTTAATTTAATAATTTATATTATATTATTTATTATATTCAACAGGCTGTGATACTGCTGCTGCTACTAGGCTGGGTGTTTCTACCAATATATCTTACGTCAGGGGTAGGTTGCTTCCCTTTATTAATCAATTATGGCGTGCTTAAAGATGCAATATGCTAGAGCTAAATCTGTATATTGTATGTCTTCTTTTGGCTTAAAATGTTATATTAGGCATTTATTCAGATGACAAGCCCATAATAAACTTTCTAGAATATCGGATGGGCGTGATTTTGAATGGATTAAAACAAGAGCGCCATTTAAACAGACATTATGAAAAAGCTAAATCTGCCTATTGCAGGTCTTTCTTTATGCCTAAATTTTTTATATAAATTATTAATTAGACATTAATTAACTTACCAAGACCATAATCAACTCTCCATGTCATCGGATACTCTTGATTTTCAATATATTTAAATACGATTTGCAGTTGATGATTTAAAGCAAGAATGGGTTATCGAGGCTTTGTTTATTATAGTAACAACGGTAGCAATAATAACTCGTCGATAGCACGGCTCAGAGTGAAGTAATTTGACTGAAATTTTCAACATATTCCCTTTTCATTATCTACATTTAAATATTATAGCGAGAACTGTCACCTCTTTATCTAATCTTACACAATGCCCCTTTAATAATAATAAGACTTTATTTATACCCGTAATACTGGTACTGGACAATCCAGGCTACATTGTTAAAACTTCAAACACTCTTAACTTCATTCCGAATAAAGTAATTTGACTGAACTTATTCATTTTTAATTATCTAATTCTGAATGATTACAGCGAGAACAGCCAGCTCTTTATCTAAATCTTACATAATGCATCTTTAACTCATTACTATAAATAATGTGGTAGTGTACATACGGTTGTCACGCATGTCCGTCGGACTGTCTATATACTTGCAAACAATGTAAGGTTTATTGTCAAACTAGCTAATTACATATTTGCACAGTCATTCCGCTTAACATTAAATCTATATTCGCTTTAAAGCACAGAGATTGTTTTACAAGTAAAAACGACGAACCATATCGGGGCGTAAATTACCCGAATAGTTATTGCCCTTGTCGTCAAACCCTTGGGTCTGCATATTTAGTTTTGTTTGAACGTTTCGCCGGGATTGTTTGACTAATTATCAAGATTGGTCGCCTATCGATCAGTTACTTTTTAAGTTATTGCTGTTATCGTCGAATCGTTCAATCAAAGTCAAGTTTTTTTTTCAAATATCCGCGTTGTAACCATTAGTGTAATTGTAGCTAAGCACGCATATGTTTGGTACAATACAAAAATACATACACTGGTTAAACCCTTATAACGAATATATTTGAAAAAATATGATGGTAATAAACAGCATAAGTGGGCCATCTACGTCATATCTACGTCATAAAATAAGACCATTCCCGTTTCGTGTACATCTCCGTGTTAGTTACTAAAAACAAAACCCCATTTTAACCTTTTTGCGTCTTACTCGAGAAAATATAATCTTAAAGGAACTCTCTTGAGAAGTCGGGATTTATACTGCCGTCAATTATAAGATAAATATGCATTAAATATGCATAATTTTATCCATATTTGATATGCTATTTGACATAGTGACATTTAGCGATTGGAAACTATATAAATCTGGAACAATTATTTGACAGCAATCACTGGTTTATTATACCCATGCACGACATTTCGATAAGATTTGGAGGAAATAGTATGAAAACATAATCTAAGTCTATTAAGAGACCAAGTCAAAAGGAAGCGTGTCAATAACCCCTCGGTGGGCATCGCAACCACTACTGCGGCTTAACTAGCCAGGTTTATTTGGATCATTGCTGTGTAGTCGGCCAATTTCTGAAGAGAGCCGCGGTGGGTCAGTGAGTAAGGTCCTGGCTCGCTAACATGGATGGTTCCATCCCGGCGTGGTGTTCCCTTGTCAGTGATGCAGAACGGGGGTTCTGACAAGTTACCGCGTCTAGTCGTTCGGACTGGACGAAAACACGAGATACCGTGTACATATCGGCGTAAACGTAAACAGCGGAAAATAAGAGTAGGTCGTAGCGCCGCTGTTCGTGGGCATGATCTAATTATTAAGGCCACCTGCAGATTTGGTCATGGTCGCCGAGATGTAAATAGGGTTAGAGCACGTGCTTGTTGACGAGATTGTCAATAGGGCTAGGTCAAGGGATAGGGTTAGGGTTAGCGCTAGCCCAGTTTACATCTCGTCACCTTTGACCAAATCTGCAGGTGACCTTAATACTTAAATCTAACCATGTCCGTGCACATTACATTGCGTATGCTGGTTATCATTAGCCCATATGGAACAGGAAAGTAGGACGTTAAACCAAATTTCAATTCCTGTATCTAACAGTTTGAGATTCGCCCTGTCAATTGGATTTAGAGCCGACACTTTATGTGTTATAATTTTCGAGTAAATAATTCCATTAAATATTTATTACAGGTATATACAATGCCAGAGTACCTTGGTAGAAGATTTGGAGGAAATCGAATGAGAACTTATCTAAGTTTAATAGCCCTACTTCTGTATATATTAACTAAGATCTCGGTAGGTAATCAATATTTATATATGGTTCAAGAATCCAGAGCGTGGTATTAAGTAATGTAGTGGTACTGCAGGAGGACGTTAGCCCGAGGACTGTATCAATGTCTCGATTTAGAGATATTCTGCGCGTGCATTTCATTTAAATCGTCACACGAACCCATTTTTCATCTAGTTTAATTAATGTACGTTTGGCTCGTTGTCTATTGGTACGGCGACATCAAATGCTGACATCACATCAAGTACAGTGAAACACCGTTATCTCGACTTTCCGACATAATCAACTAATAAATACGTTGACCTTTATTGACTCAGCCATATAATCACCTTGTTTTAAGGTCGTCAGCTCGTTATTTCTTTATGGATCGACATTCCTTTCTTATACATTTCACTATTTAAAGATGCATTCTGTAAAAACTAAGGTCTTTGTTTGGCTTGAAATGTTATAAAAAAAAATTCTGTAGGCATTTATTCACAAGCCAATGACTCCCTAGGCCATAAGATGGGTTAGTTATTGAATGGATTAGAACACCGGTATCATTTAACAAGTTAACGTTAAAATGGATAATCGAGACTTTGTTTATTATCGTAGCAATGGTACTTGAAAATCGATATCTTGCCAAAATAAAGTCATTTGTCAGAAATTTTCAACATATTCATTTTTCATTACCTATTTTGGAACTATTATAGCAAGGACGGGCAGCTCTTTATCTAAATCTGACGAATCTCTGAGTAATTTTTTTTTAAAAAAGGCGAAAGCAGGTGTTTGTTTTCCACAACCTAGCCGCTCGAGTTCACAAAGCGTTTTCAGACTAAAGTTAAGAATCTATTCAAAATTGTTCGCCTTATTTTAACTAAAATGTAGCCCTTTATAAAATATATCAAATACATCAAAAGGAAATTATGTGCAAAGTTTTATGTTTCTGGATGAAATATATTTTTCATAAATAGTGACTGAAAGTTTAGTAAATTCTTAAGTTAAACCTGAGAATGCTTTGTAAAACCCGGTTCTGTTCTTTAATAATGCTCTCCCCCAGAGCCACATTTTATACCACATAATTCTAGAAATAATAATTCTCTACTCAAACGGAGCAGTGAGGATAATCATAGTTGATGTATTCAATTTAAAAGCGTCTGGTCGTTATAACACTTTGTTAAAATTTCAAAACTTTAATATTTGCTACTAGAAGCTTTTGAGAAGCGCAGCAAAAGTTATGTTTCCTTCTTGGAGAAATTGGAGGCAGCATTTCAAATTGTTGCGGCCTTAAATACAGTTGCCTCGATCTACCATTTCCGTACTTATATATTAAATGCAGGAGGGCAGCAACACAAACCAAGACAAAAACATGCAGATAAAGTAATTAGAGAAATATTGGGTATAAAATGTCGGTCATTTTATATCTCGGTTTTGCGCTCATGAGAAATACATACATCATTTTATGAATTATATATCGCTTTATAGAACGGAGAAACTTTAGTGGGCTTCGTTTAAAGGTTTTATTAAGTCAGTTCATAATAATCGGTTTATGGGTTACCTGTAGTAGTACTATTCACTAATCGCGATTGACAAACCCTTTTAGCGCGGTGCTTAAATAGCCACAAAAACCACATAAATTAGATTACATGTTATAAATCAAAACTGGTATAAAGTGTGAATATCAGATAAAACTCACATTAAACAGTAATCTACTTGTATCTAGTATAATTACCAGTTAAAGGTTGTAGCCCTGCTACTGTTGGGGCAGCGGTGGCCCAGAGAATAGGCGCGGGATTGTTGACCATGATTTTCATTGTCCATGGTGCAGGACTGATGGCCTGGCAAGAACATCGTCTAGTCATTCAGATGGGACAAAACCCGAGGTCGTATGTACACATAGGTGTACACTTACATGTAAATAAACCCTGTACAGATTTATTCGATCTGGACCGTAGTGCTGCTGTTTGGGCAAAATTTCTCTCAGGGTACATTGCATGGCGTAAACTCGTCTTAATTAGCCCAGTCGATGCAGAACAGTAGGACGTTAAACTCCACTTCATTTTATTTCTATACAAAAAAAAGAAGAGAAAGGAACAGTGTATAAACCAAGGAATTAAATAGCGTCGGTTGGATTTCCCAAAAATAATCACAAAAGTCAGACATTGCTTTTAAAAGATTATCTGTGTGGAATGAATGTTGTAGTGTTTCACATTAGCTGTATAAATGCTATATTCAATTTAAGGCATCGTTAATAATGGATATAGAGTAATCCAATGGTATCCGTTCCCTTGATCTAACCGTCGGAAACTGATCATTCACAACCGACCTTTTCAGTAAATAGGTTTCAAAAAAAAAAAAAATGATACCATTGTTGATCCAAAGATCCTAAGCGACGGCGATAATAATAGCAATTCCTCTACTTTACAAGGACAACATTGACACTATGATCAAAGATGGTCGAATGTCGCATAGTTGAACAGCTCCCGGATAAAGGTGGAACAAGCTCTCAAAAAAAGGTTGTTGTCATTTTTGAGAATAGCTGATCGTCGCTATTATCAATTCACTCTTACAGTGGAATAATTTAAATGAGTCAATGTAACCCAGTTAAGCGAATCTGGCAAGGGGCTTATTGTTTATTGCTGAACGTTTCAGACCAGCTCTAACATGGTCGGTTTGTCCAAGCTTTACACCCGTTTCCACCTAGGATTATATCGCAGACAAGTGTCTTACTGGTCTGGTCTGACTGGGCTAATGAAGACGGGCATACACCATACACTGTGTTATGAGGGCAATTTTGCCCGGCAGTTATGCCCGGAAAACGGCGCGACGGCCTATTCGTACATCGCATTCCAACTGCCAAGGGATATTTAACGTGCACGCCAATGTGTACACGGGACCTCGGTTTTGCGTCTCATCCGAACCAAAAGACGACTGTCTGTCAGGCCCCCGGCCCTGCACCACTGACATGGGGAAACAAGACCGGAAAATCCCGATAAACTTTCTCGAACAACACTGGGATCGAACCCGCGACCTCCAGGCTAGCGAGCCAGCGTCTTACTCTTTTAAGATACAGTATCCATTGGTTCAAGCTGTGACTTCAGGACAGTTCCTTTAGTTAGAACCATAGCTGTTTCACAGATGACTTCACAAGTCTTACAGGGGCGGATCCAGGAAGGGATTTGCCCGGTACCTGAAACAATGTATCTCTGGGGAGGGGGGGGGGCGTACGAGAGGAGTGTGTGAGGTATCTCCGCCCCCCCGTCCACGACCTTGAAAATGTTTGAGAAATACATGGTCTCTATCGTCATTTTGGCATATATACATACACGCTGAGCTTTTTAAAGTGAGAAATCCAACACCCAGTTTGACGTCAATTTGTATTATGAATAAATACGACGGCATTGTGATTCAATTTCATTAAAGCAAACATTTAATTGTGATATCACATATGTATATATCATTATCTCGCGCTTTGAATGCCCACCCCATCCCACCATCTGACGATAAAGGGTAAAGCACACGACCATGATGCTTTTCTCATAAAATGTGTTGTTTTACAATTTTTAAGTAGCTGAGCAGGTGGCGGGGGGCCCCACGCCACCCACATTGGGTCCGCCCTTGCTTAACTGTACTTAAACTGATGTCTATTAAACTTGTCACTAGCCCAGACTGATCCTGTCACAAATATTAACAACGAAACACATAAATCTTGTTAGTTTTAACAGAACAGACAGTATGGTTTCAATAATAAATTTATGATGTTTTAAAAGGCATTGGTGAATTTATTCGCCATCTGAAATATTTCACAACTGATAATTAGGGAAGACCAAACAGCTCTTTATTCAGTTGTCTTAATACTTAGTTCTTAATTCATAGTCCTTAATTCTTATTTCTTCATTTTGTTGTCCTTTTTCGACATTTGTACACTAGAATTAACCTTTGTATCAATATTTGTTTTATAAATCAGATATTTTTCATACCAGATTTGTAAAATGAATTTTTGTTTAATTTAATTGTATTTTAATATTTCCATATACAAATCTTCATATACAAATCTTCAAATAATACCAATCTTGCAAACCATTTCTTGAAAAACAGCTGTTACTGGGCTAATGAAGACGGGTTTACGCCCGGACAGCGGCGCCTTCTATTATTTCGAATTGCAACTGTCAAGGGTTCTTTTACGTGTACACCAATGTCTAAACGGGGCGTCGGATTTCCATCCCATGAACAACTAGACCCTATCATTGCGAGGCCCTCCACATTGCACCACTGACAACGGGAATCCGCGCTGGAAAATCCCGAGGAATTTTCTCGGCCAACACAAGGAACGACCCCTAACCCACCTGGTTGGCGACCCAGCGTCTTACCAGCTGAACCACTGTGGCCCACATAAAGAGGCAGTGGATTAAGGAATGTTTTTGTACTTCGTCATTGGCTACTTTGTCCTATGATAGCTTAGTATTAAAACAAATTAAAATAAAATGGCTATGGATTGAGAAAATGTACTTCATTAGTTAGTGTGGGAGAACCAAACTACACGCACGACATGACCCATAAGACAAACCTGCGGACATGACACAAACTACACAGACATTGTGAGTAATAAACAATAAATATTAATCATAAGCGTACACTGCCCTATACAGTCCAGAGCGTGTATCAGGCAATTTCCCTCATAGCACATCGTATGGCGTGTGTCTGTCTTCTCCGGAGCGGAACATTACGACGCTAAACCCCATTACATTTCATTTCACTAAAATAAAACCCCAAAAAAACAAAAAACATATTGATTACAAGAAAGACGTAATGCAACCAGTCTTGCCGGCGATCATCTTCTGAAGCTGTTATTAATTAAGAAGACAACACAGACAGTAAAGCACCGATAAATACGAAACGAGGATACTTTTATCTACTAATTAATGACCACATACAAAAACATATTTCTTCTTTAATGTCGTCTTCAATCTTCTTTAGTTTCGTAATTAGTAATGGTTGAATCCATTAAAATAGAAACAACAAACGCGAGTAATGTAGGTGATCCGGATTGGCAAAAAAATATATATTCCGTTGAACAAATATTCAGGTAAATACTGTACGTAAAATGATCCTTGGGGTAATAAAATACACAATATCTACGAAACGAGATGATAGTTAGTTGACTTCTAAATATAAGCCCCCCCCCCCCCCGCTGTCAGTTGTACAGGCCACGTAAAAGAACTCGATCCGATATACTCGCGGTGGAAGTGTGGACGTAAAACTCCAGAAAAGAACGATGCAAACGAAGTGATGACGTCACCCTTTTAAAGTGTGGATGGCACTCTAATGAGTTGTGTTCGAAGTGATAAATTTGATATCTGAAGTGTTCATTTCATTTTCAATGAAATAAAGAAGGCAGAAATGACATTGAAGTGAGGATGAGCACTCCAATTACCTCACTTTGTGGTCACTGCTACCTAAATATTCTGAACACCTCAACACTTCAACAAAGTGTTTATAGGATGGTTATATCACTTCAACAAAGTGTTCATAGTGTGTTTCTGTTACTTCTGTCTAGTCGTTCGCATGGGACGGAAAACCGAGGTCCCCTGACAGTTGGAATTCGATATAAGAGTAGGCCGTAGTGCTGCTGTCCGGGCAAAATTTCCCTCATAGCACACTGTATGGCGTATGCCTGTCTTCATTAGCCCAGTTCGGAGCAGAACAGTAGGACGTTAAACTCCATTTCATTTCATTCCATTTATATGGTGTTTTTATCACTTCATCCAAGTGATTATGATAACATGGTGTTGTTATGATAGATATTGCTAGATGGTTATGTAGCCCATGGCTTCAGTAATATTTAACTGAAATTTGTCAGAGAAGATTTAGTAAGCACCATTTAGTAGCATAGCTCTAGGGGTCTTTAAAAATAAAATTGCAATGTCTGGAGAAAAGACAGAGGATTAAGGAGGCGACAAGATAGACTCCCTGTCATGTGCATACACGGGATCCAACTAAAGCCAGGAGTTGCATCGATAATCATTATTTAGATTAACACAAATTGTTATTCGCATACACAAACTATGGTTTGTGTTGCCGAATTGTTTAACAAATGCACTTTAGATCGTAAGGTCTGTCATTGAATCAAGTGGCGTGGTTTCGATTCCCGCTTGTATTTGACAAGGAGCAGAATCGTCTATCCAACGTCATATGTTTTCACTGGGTCCCCCGGTTTCCTCCCACCTCTACCTACACGCAAATTATTGAAATATCTCGGTGGGTGCGGACAAGTAGGATGTTAAACCCCATTTCAGATGGCTATATTATTATTTCATGGGATATTTAAGAAGGTGATTTATTTATGTTTGTTTTAGGTAGATATATATGCTGGAGCTGTATTTATACAACAAGCAATAGGGTTAAATCTCTATCTCTCTGTTATACCACTATTAATAATTACTGCTCTATATACCATAGCGGGTAAGCTCTTTCTGTTATACAACTATTAATAATTACTACTGTATATATCATGGCGGTTAAGTTATACAACTACACGTATTACGTTCTCTCTGTTATATCACTGTTAATAATTACTGATCTATATACTATAGCGGGTAAGTTATAAAACTATTAATAATTACTACTCTATATACCAAAGCGGGTAAGTTATAAAACTATTAATAATTACTACTCTATATACCATAGCGGGTAAGTTATTTCTGTTATATATCATAGCGGTTAAGTTATACAACTACACGTATTAAGTTCTCTCTGTTATATCACTGTTAATAATTACTGATCTATATACTATAGCGGGTAAGTTATAAAACTATTAATAATTACTACTCTATATACCATAGCGGGTAAGTTATAAAACTATGAGTAATTACTACTCTATATACCAAAGCGGGTAAGTTATAAAACTATTAATAATTACTACTCTATATACCATAGCGGGTAAGTTATTTCTGTTATACCACTGTTAATAATTACTACTGTATATATCATAGTGGTTAAGTTATTTCTGTTATACCACTGTTAATAATTATTGATCTATATACCATAGCGGGTAAGTTCTCTCTTACCATAGAGGGTAAGTTATATTTGTTATACCGCTGTTAGTAATTACTACTCTATATACCATAAAGGGTAAGTTATTTCTGTTATACCACTTTTAATAATTACTACTGTATATACCATAGCGGGTAAATTATTTCTGTTATACCACTGTTAATAATTACTACTGTACATACTATAGCGGGTAAGTTATTTCTGTTATACCAGTTAATAATTACTACTGTACATACTATAGTGGGTAAGATATCTCTGTTACACCACTGTTAATAATTACTACTGTTAATAATTACTACTGTACATACTATAGCGGGTAAGATATCTCTGTTACACCACTGTTAATAATTACTACTGAATTATTTCTGTTATACCACTGTTAATAATTACTACTGTATATACCATAGTGGTTAAGTTCTTTCTGTTATAACACTGTTAATAATTACTGCTCTATATACCAAAGCGGGTAAGCTCTTTCTGTTATACCACTTTTAATAATTACTACAATAGTGGTTAAGTTCTCTCTGTTATAACACTATTAATAATTACTACTCTATATACCATAGCGGGTAAGTTCTTTCTGTTATACCACTGTTAATAATTACTACATATCATCGTGGTTAAGTTCTTCTCTCTGTTATACCACTGTTGATAATTATTACTGTATATATCATAGCGGGTATGTTCTCTCTGTTCTACCACTTTTAATAAGTACTGTTGTATGTACAAGTTACAATAATGCAATCAAATATTATAGCCACCTTATGCCGAGAGACAAACATGGGTCACGGCCCGTATAATCTAATTGTAAGATAAGATAAGCTACACCCAACAACCGATTATATTTTCTGCAGTTTCATTGGAAGTGCTAAACGTTGGGGATACCGGGAACGGTAATTGATTTCGTCCATGCTTCTTCAAATTACGTCACTGTCCGTGATTCTTCTGTGTGTGCCGTTGGGGCATCTGATGGTGTAACGCATACTTTTGAGACCATAAGTGGCGTGGTTTCGAGCCATAACTTGTACGTGACAAGGACTAAAGTCGCCCTCGGTCGGTTTCCTTATACTACTAAAGAGCCCTACGCACAAGCAGTGGGAGGAAACCGGAAGACTCGGAGAAAACCCACGAAGTTGGACAGGCAACCCTACTCCTTGTCACGTACAAGCGTGGAATCGAAACCACGGCACTTGATTCAATGATAGATCTTATGGGTTACACGGGCACAAAACCACCCAAAACAACCCAAACCCACGTGAAGCTGGCAAGGAATATATTGCCTAGTCGCTCGGATGGGACGAAAAGCTAAGATCTGTCCATGTACACACCGCAGTGCACACACATGAACACTTGAGTTGAAATATGAAGATAATTAGTACTCAAATCTCCCCAGTAGCATTGTAAATTTGATCATCAAAGAAAGAAAAAAAAAATTGTATTACGATCTCCAAATGGCCGAAGTATTATGTTGACAAGACATTAAAGGAGCTAAATATTGCGTCGCATTTTATAATCATTGCACTAGTCCTGTATTCTATGTTTTTGTTACCACGTGTATAGAACAAAATAACCTACATATCCTACATGACAACACGGAAGTAATTAGTAATGGCTGATTCTCATAAACGGCAAAATAATAATTAAGAAAACAGGTCGAGTATAGTACGCAGGTGTACATGTCTGATTACATATTTCACCGAACATAATTGATTAGAAATTACTATTTTCTTTAATTCAAAAATAGACTATAAACATACACATCACTCATATTACATTAATATGTGCTTCATACCCGTTTTGGGAAGGGGGTGGGGGCGAATGGTTAACACGTGCGCACTGTATCATAAGGTCTGTCAGTGAGCCAACTGGCGTGGTTTCGATTCACCGGTTGTACGTGACAAGGAGTAGGGTCGCCTGTCCAACCGCGTGGATTTTCTCCGGGTTCTCAGATTTCCTCCCACTGCTAAAGACCCCTACGCACAAGCGAATTATTGAAATAAAATTGAACCATATATTAGTGCCGAAATGATCTAGCTTGTGTCGAATGGACGTTAAACTCCATTTCTCTCTCTCTATCTCGTACCCATTTTCGTCTATTTTAATATTTCAAGAATAGAGCCATGCGCCAGTCCCATTTTAAAGTAAATAAGATAGGAACTTTGTCTCTACATTGAATAGAACAACCTTAATTCACGGTTGATAAGTACTGCTAACCCATACTAAACTTAGGCTGTCTGACTACATTTACCTCCACTTGAGAGCAGACACTAAGCTAGATGACCGACATTTTAAGTCCTAAATCGACGATTTTAGTCGAAAACACTAAGTATACTTCAAGAATTTTGTTAAGTATTTATTCTGCTTCCATTTAATAAACTGAAAACATTTATTTAGTCTTTGTGCCTATGGCAGATGTTAAACGAAGTAGACACGCATTACAACACAGCATACCAACTTTCGGATATGGCGGCGATTTAGGACAGAGATCTATTCTCGAGGAATGAAGTAGATGGATCTATTGTGTGCAGAATGCCACTAACCCCAATGTACATGGTATTCCACTCTAGTTTGAAATTTGAATACGTCAATGTGATTTTCATCGATAGCAAGAGACCATTTAATACTGGTGCACACCATTTGATTGATTTTGAATTCTATGTGCGATATCAGTTGTTATTTTATTGGGAATGGTCTGTCGATGATTTAAACAAGCCAGTGTCATCTATAAGTACCGGAACGCTTTTAAATCCGCTTTTAAAGATGCATTATTTAAGAGAGAGAGAGAGAGAGTGAGAGAGTGAGAGACAGACAGACAGACTTTGTTTTTTATTGTAGCAATGCCAATAGTAGCATTGAAAATCGAGATTACGTTATTCTTACCAAACCACCAAACGCTCGGAATTTAGAAGTATGACTAAAATTTTCAATATATCCCCTTTTCATTATCTATTTTAAACTTTTATAGCGCGAACTGTCAGCTCTTTATCTAAATCTTACATCATGCATCTTTAAATAATCAATTTGGTTACATTCCAAACAAATACAAATAACAACCAGCGACATTAACTGGGCCATTTTCGATCTTAAATTCGATTTTTGTTATGGCAGCCATGTTCCATTTTTGGAATTCCTAGCCATTCACGATTAGATTAAAACTCCAGATGTAGATTTATGTCAGTCGTTTAGAACAAATCTTTAACGTAACTATCTAACTATATTTAGTCAAATTTTAATTAAATCACAGCTTACATAACTGTGTTTATTGGTGCGTTCCAAATACCAAGCAAGCTTCAAATTAATACGCCGTTATAGACTGAGTTTCCAGTTTAAATTAATTAACACTAAGGGAATTTAAAAAGTCTCGTGCCTCGGGCTTCGTGGTGGCAGTTTAGCTTCAAACCCGTTGAATCGTTATCGGATGAAAATAACAGATTAATTAGCTTTCTGTACCCGGATAAAAACCCGTGGATCGACACAAACTAGGTCATTTCGGGATTATCATATGGTTCAATTTTATTTCAATAATTCGCTTGCTCGTATAGACAGGTGACCCTACTCCTTGTCACGAACAAGCGGGGAATCGAAACCATGCCACTTGACTCAATGACAGACCTCTGATCCAACGCGCACCCCACCTCCCCCTCCCCACACACACGCCATACACAACAAACGTATATATCAAATTTAATCCGAGGAAAGGATGTCAAAATAACCTTTATTATTGTTTGTTGCGAACAGCAAGGAAGACGATGTAAAGACTTTAACTTCACGTGATAGTTTTAAGATTGGAATAATAATTGGATATTTCCACCCGACTGATTCCACAACAGACAGTTGTTTTCCTACTTATAAGGACAGTAATTTCCGATTTCTTCAGACAACTAAATTATGAGAGAGAGAGAGAGAGAGAGAGAGAGAGAGAGAAGAGAGAGAGGGGGTGGGACGCCTCATAATGAATCACACGATTAGCATCAAAACTTGATTGATGGGATGCCCAAAACGGTGTGATCTGTGGGGTGCCTTACATGATTGGTGGGTCGTCTTTATAATGACAATATACAGTAGAATCTGTATTAAGCAGCCACTCTTAATAGGAGTGACCTCTTAATAAGACAAAGAAAAGATGACGCTTAATAAGACAAAGAAAAGATAACTCTTAATAAGACAAAGAAAAGATAACTCTTAATAAGACAAAGGAAAGGTGACTGTGTCAGGTTGTTTATTAAAAAACAAGCAATATGTACATGTAACAATAGCACACCTCATTAAACAAAGAAGTCACTTATTTTCGGTTGTTTGGCACATTTTTTAACAATCAATTTTGATGTAATGTCTCTTGCACTGATAATAGCATCGAAAAGTTTAAAATTGCATTCTTTTTCTGCTAATGTTTTAATTTGGTCACTATAACTTAAAGCTGTGTCAATATTAAACACTTTTCACTTTCTGTTTCTTTTAATTCTTCCTCTTCCTCACTCTCTTCATCAGTATTTCTTTCGCCTATCTCCTCAGTTAATAAATCCTGGGCTGATTTTGACCAGTAAATTTCACAGACATTCAAGTCACAAGTTGTCAAATCACCATCTATTGCTGGTAATGAAACAAAGTCTGTGTCAAAAATTTGTTAGGACATCCTTAATAACGAAAGTGGTAAATAAAATTCGTCGTGTTCATCACTTTCACTTGCATTATCTGTACCAAGTTCAAAACCACAACGTTTAAAACACTTTGATATTGTTGTATATAAAACTGTTTTCCACGAAGCACCAATCCAATAAATTACTGTCAGGATATCCAAAGATTTTAAACTCTCGTTGTTTGTGGAGGTCTTGTCTTTTTCCATCTGCATAATGACATGTTCTAACTGTCTTTTCCGATAGTGTTTTGTAAATGTCTCAACGATTCCTTTGTCCATAGGCTGCGACTTTGATGTTGTATTAGCTGGGAAAAACTGGAGCTTAACGTTGTACAGTTCTAAATGTGGGTGTGATGGCGCGTTATGCTTATTTACTGACTAGAGCCATTCTTCAAAAATAGTCGCCGTCAGCCAGGTCTTCTTATTGCTTCGATACATAACGGGAAGCTTCTCAACGTCCTTCACCTTGCCAAAACCATCGAGTTTTTTTTTATCGTTTTAACACTAGAGGTTTCAGCTTTTCCCCGGTCAAACTGGCACAAAGTGCAACAGAAAGTCTTTCCTTCGACAGCTTTCCTCCGGCACAGACATCCCCCTTAACGTGGAAAGTTTTCCGCGACCCGTCTTTATAAAATAAACCAGTTTCATCCATGTTGAAAATGTCCTTTGGTAGAAACCCACTGCACAACTGCGGTACTTTTGATTTAAAATCGTCTACTACGCCCATATCCACATCTGCCCGCTCACCGCTCATACATCCGAAAACTATATTGTGTCGGGAAAGAAATGACCGTAGCCATCCGTTAGAAGCTTTAAATGTATGATTATCGGGCCGCAAATAATGCATAATGCCGACTGAGATTGGTTGCGCCCCCACGATTTAATCAATGGGCCGCCCAAAACGGCATGATTGGTGGAGTGCCTCATCTCGGAGGTTCGGCCATAGTACCGAGATTAGTGGACAGCGCACGACGAGATCATAGGCGCCCAACCAAGAAACATACCGCATACCGATGCCCGAAGAAATCTACCATAAGAAAGTCAACTGGAGTTTATAAGAAATTTTCCAGGTCGAATTCACCATGAGGATGAGATTGATTCAAACCCGCACCAGGCGTGATAATCTTCAAAATTCAAACAAGTCGCACTCCAGCCCAATTCCGAACTTTTCGTTTTTCTCATAAATTATTATAGGTACGCTGAAGTCGTATCCCTTCCTTCAAATTTTTATAATGTTCATATCAAAATATCATAATAAGCCAATATCGCAAATTCAGCCTCAAAATTGAAATTTTCCTTCATTTCCTTGCACACCCTATTTTCCAAAATTGCCGGGGGGGGGGGGGGGCGGCTGGACTCTTCTCCGAAGGGAGGCGCGTCCACGGTGCCGTTTGCCGTGGACCGTAAAGTACAAGTATATCGGCGCCCCAGAAGCCCTTGCCCCCCAACATTGTTTGGCTAGCTAAGGATCCGAATGATTAGCTGGTTTTAATGTTAGCACGCAATTTGAGAGTACATCTACTGTAATTAAACAATCAGCAGTACGTGTAAATAGGTTGATTCAGATAAATATAACCGACCGAAGACCTATATATCGTTTATTTGACATTTGCTTTCATGGCGCTGTTTTTATCGGCCACTGAAAGGCAAAACAAGTTGTTCGTTGGTGAAACTATTTATGTACTGAATAATGAATACCTTCGACGACTGACAAACAATATTGACCTTTTCTTGTGACTTTGTAAATAAAATAAGGCATTTTAAATTTAATACCAACGTATTACTGCCATATTCTTGAAATCTTGATTCTTCAATTCACCCATTCTCCAGTGTACTATTCTGAAACTAGGTTAGTTCTAAATGATAAGGCCAGCTCAACTTTTCGTCATAGGTTACGAGATGTAAACAGGGCCAGCGCTAATCCCAACTCTAACCCTAACCCTGGACGTAGCCCCAATTCTTACCCTAATCCTAACCTAAAATTTCGCCAACAACCACGTGCCCTAATCTTATTTATATCTCAGCGACCTTGACAAAAATTAAGCTGGCCTTAACAAACAGATTTAGCCCCGAAACTGTTGTGTGGTATAAGGGACATAACTCTTGTTAAGCATGCGTTGATTAAAAACGTGTATGTCAAAAATTATGTGATTCTATTCTGCCTTCTTAGTTATTGCCCTGTTAATTAATCATGATCGGCACCAGGACTGAGGTTGAATTTAATGGTGTTGAGTATTGGGACTTGAAAGACTCACTCCCACATCCTCGAACATTAAAACAAATCATTAAAACATGTCATTTCTTTTTCTCATGGGGGGGGGGGGGGCGAATGGTTAGCGCATACGCGCTATTATATTAGGTCTTTCACTGAGTCAACTGGCGTGGTTTCGGGGCGCCTGTCCAACCTCGTTGGTTTTCTCTGGGTCCTCCTTTTTTCTCCCACTGCTTTATTTTAAAGCCCCCCCCCCCTCTCTCTCTCTCTCTCCCTCTCTCTTTTGCTCATTGACAATATTTTTTTTGTGGGTTCTAGATACTTATACGTTGAATATGATTGAAGACGAATAGCAGGAGAATCTGAATATGATTATTATTATTTTTATTTTAGGTGGTTTAGCTGCTGTAGTGTTCACTGATACACTACAGACCGTTGTTATGTTAGTTGGTGCCATTATATTAGCTGTTATTGGTAAGCTTTGTTTTAAAACATACATTATATTAGCTGTTATTGGTAAGCTTTTTTTTTAAAACATACATTATATTGGTAAGCCTTTGTTTAACATACATTATGTAAGATTTAGATAAAGAGCTAGTCGTTGAATATATTGAAAATTTCAGTCAAATTGCTTCATTTTGAGCTAAGGTTTTACAATATATGAATAATCATTACAGTTGCATTATGTAAGGTTTAGATAAATAGCTGACAGTTCTCGCTATAATGGTTCAACAATAGATAATAAACAAGAGCATCGCTAACGCAGCAATATACGTCCACATTCCTGTTTTGTTTGATATGGTCCAGTTTGCATTGAGGGTCTGTGAAATAAAACTGGGTTGTAGGACTGCTATCAGTATAACATTTCGTTCACATTAACAGAACACAATTTTTATTTTAAAACAATCGATGTCTTTATTCTAAAAGCATGACGTTTTTTTTTTGTTTTTTTTTGCTTGATTGATAACGATAAGAGAATACTTGTGGAAACGTCGTGCTTTTAGAATAAACTAGTGATTGTATCCCATAAAAACTGTGTTCTGTTAATTTGTTCCCTGATCGCTAAATGCCACTTAAAGAATAACTAGAAATGGGCGTGGCTCTGCCCCTGGGGGTCGGGCATGCACCAAAAACAATAGGGATCTTCCTTGGGGTATAAGGAATAAGTATACCAAGTTTGAAGAAAATCCAGTAAGAATTGCGCCCTGTAGGCGACACAAAGACACACGAAAAGAAAATGGGCGTGGCTCTGCCCCTGGGGGTTGGGCATGCACCCCAAACGATAGGGATGTTCCTTAGGGTACAAAGAATGTGTATGCAAAGTTTCAAGATTATTAGTTAAGAAATGTGGCCTGTAGACGACAAACAAACAAATACTAGAAATGGGCGTGGCTCTGCCCCGGGGGGTCGGGCATGCACCAAAAACAATAGGGATCTTCCTTGGGGTATAAGGAATAAGTATACCAAGTTTGAAGAAAATCCATGAAGAATTGCGCCCTGTAGGCGAACCACAGACACACACACACACACACACACACACACACACACACACACACACATACATACATACACACACACACACACACAGACAGGGGCGACGGCATAATACGTTCACATTATGAATGTGGACGTATAAAAATGAATATAGTGAAAATTAAACCTTGCTTATATGGTATCATTGGTACCTGGCAAGCTAGACAAACCTGTCAAAATAAAGTCATTTGACTGACATTTTCACTATATTCATTTTTTATTATCTAATTTAACGTTAAATTATTAAATTCTAATTAATTCACTATCGCGGATATCCATTGAACCACACAGCTAACAGCTTTCATATATTGAATTCAATTGCCACAGGATCGTTTACATGCACGCCAATATGTACACGGGACCTCAGGTTTTCGTACAATCCGACTGGCTAGACAGCTGTCCTTGCCATTGACACGATAAACCAAGTCGGAAAATCCCGATGAACTTTCTCGGCCAACGCAGGGATCGAACACGGGACCTCAAGGCTAGCGAGCCAACGTCTTTTTTTTATTTTTTTTTAATTTAAATTCAGATACATACATTCAATATATATCATACAGTATAAAAATAAAAAATTAAAAGACAATTATATCACAGACTGAAAATAAACGATGTAACTAGAAAAGTAGATAAATAATAAATATATCACAATATTTCCATGAAATTCCATAGGTTTGGATTTAAAAAATGTTTGAACTTCTTCTAAAACAAATTTTAAAATCCTTTTAAAAAGTTCTATGAAATTCACAGACACATTCTTATTCATCATTAAAATACGACGTCTATAAACAGCTTGTCTTAAACAACTAAAAAGGAGATTTAACCGTTCATAAGCAGCATCTTTTGACTGAACACCAACGTCTTATTCACTGAGCCATCGTGAAGCCTGAAACGTAATGAGAACTTCAGATGGTGATAACATAGGACTGACCCATTTGAATAATTTTTGGACCTATATTCTTTGTAGTAAGACAGACAGACAGAAATGAGGTTTAACGCCCACTCGACACAGACTAGGTCATTTCGGGACTAACACATGGTTCAATTTCATTTCAAAAATTTGCTTGCGCGTAGGGGTCTTTAGCAGTGGGAGGAAACCGGAGGACAGTGAGAAAACCCACGAGGTTAGACAGGCGACCCTACTTCTTGTCACTTATAACCGGGAATCGAAACCCCGCCATCAGACAGACCGTATGATACAGCGCGCACGTGCTAACCATTGCCCCCCCCCCCCACACACACACTTTGTAGTAAGACTATGGCCTGTGTTCTGTATGCTTTTTTTAATGCTTGAATAGTGTGTTTTTATATTGAAGATATTGTAAACCGCTGTTTTCTTTGTTTTACCCTTTAGCTTTTGTGGATGTAGGTGGCTTACCTGGACTTTATTATAAATATATGGAGGCTATACCGGAAATTATCAAAAATGGAACGCTTAATACAACTTGTGGTCTCCCTCGTGAAGATGCCTTCCATATTTTACGTGATCCCATCCACTCTGATCTACCCTGGCCGGGAGTCATCATCAGGTCGACAATAGCATCACTCTGGAACTGGTGTGCTGACCAAGTGAGTAGAGATGATAGCAAGTTTGTTTACTAAAATAAATGAAATCGGCTTTAATGCCCTGTTTATCTGCGCCGACTAGGCTGTTGAAGACGGGCATACCTATACTTTTTACGTAGTGAAGTGTTTTATAATGGATTTTCCCAGGGCCGTAACTAGCTCAGAGCAAAAAGGGGGCGGGAAGTGTTCGCAGGGGTGCTGTAATATTGACGGACAACGTATATCTATTTTATGGTCGAAAATTTTTTCACGGGGGGGGGGGGGCGACCTAGTTACGGGCCTGATTTTTCCCCGGACAGCGGATATTCGGCCCACCGAAAGACTAGACCCTGTGTCTTGTTAGAATCTTCGTTCTGCATAATTGACAATGAGAAACCACGCCGGAAAAAAAGAAGTTTCTCAATCAACACCAAAATCGAACCCGAGACTTGCACCACCGCGGTTACCTGCTAAAATAAAATAAACAGTAATGACGACCTTTCTTTGATATTCCTATAACCATAGCTTCTTTATTTCCTTTCAGGTTATTGTTCAAAGAGCCCTTGCTTCCAAAAATATGGCGCATGCCAAAGGGGCGACAATTCTTACTGGCTACTTGAAGTTTATACCATTGTTTATTATTATTATGCCTGGTATGATCAGCCGTGTTTTATTTACAGGTGAGGACTAATATATTCATCTAGGGGAATTCAATTAATTATCGTTAGTTATTTAAAGGTGCCTTTCCAGATAGGGCGTTGGGTGGTCGAGTGGTCTAATTCGAGTTCTTTAGATCATAAGGTCGGTCATTGATTCAACTACGTGTACGTGTCAAAGAGTAGGGCTGCCTGTCTGGTTTCCACCAACAGCAAAATATTGAAATAAAATCATATGTTAGTCCCAAAAGAACCTGGCTTGTCAAGTGGAGGTTAAACTTAGTCATGTGCAACGGTCGAAAAATCCATAACAATTTTGAAAGAAATGGGACCTATAATTAAACAACTATTTTCGCTAAAACATGTGGTGTTTCCATACCATGACATATGATTACCTTTATTTTAGAGCAGGTGGCCTGTGCTGATGCTGCTACATGTTTAGAAGTTTGTGGGAATGCAGCTGGATGCTCTAATGTAGCCTACCCAACTCTAGTATTAGGTCTTGCTCCTATTGGTGAGTTCTAATAAGATATTTCAGAATAATTTATATACTTAAATGAAGTTAATTTGATGGTGCATTGGCTAGCGTCTATCGGACAAACCGATTTGGTGTATTTGAACGGACGAAAATGTAATGTAGCAAGTATTACCGTTTGGCATATAATCCGTGTAGTGAAATATAGACTAGCTGTTGTTTTTAATATAAAATTGCCCTCAATATGTTTTGTTTCGTGCATGGTATTATTTTCCAGGAATGCGGGGTCTACTAATGGCTGTGATGATAGCAGCTTTAATGAGTTCTTTAACGTCTATATTTAACAGTGCTGCTACTATATTTACTATGGATATATGGAGACGTGTCAAACCCCAAGCATCAGAAAAACAGCTTCTTGTTGCTGGCAGGTAACTATTATATCTATATTGAACATAATTCAGTTGTCACCGAATAAATAGAGAGGTTGAGTCTCAGTGGTGCAGAACGGATGAACGGTGGCTAGTCGATCGGATGGGACGAAAAACCCAGGCCCCGTCTACACATTGGCGAAATATGGCGCATGCCGGTCTTCATTAGCCCAGTAGGCGCAAAACCCCATTTTATTTCACCGAATATAACTGCATGTACTGGAATGATACTGTCATGATCTCGTCCGCCCACAAATATCTAATCACTTATGTAAAAATATTACATTTGTTATCTAATTGTATTCAAAATTCGTATGTGGCTCTATATCCATGGTCAATCACGATGTTCGCCGAAACAGTTTCTTTTGTCATTGGTGCAGAACAGAGGGCCTGGCAAGAAACACATCCAGTCATTGATATGGTATGGGAATCCGAGGTCCACAACATGTGCTCGTCTCCATTAGCGCACCCACTGACACGTTAACAAATACTCAACCCCTAATTTTGTGTTGCCTTGGACATTTGGACAATTTGATCGGGAATGGCCAATTTTGTAACCTCACATATTTTCCGACATGATTTTGTGCTCTAATGTTTCTTCTATTTCGTAGCTGAGATTCATTCCTTCGCAATGTGTACTTTTTAAAAAAAAGCCCATATGATTTGAAACCATGGGAGTATCCCGACATTGCTGTTCTGGACCTGGTCGTCTTTTTGTCCATATTCAATGTCGGATATCGATGAAGAGAGGCCATAGGCTGTTCTACTTATGAGGTTCCCGCAATCCCCATGACAAAACCGAGGCTGGTGACAGATGTTGAAGACTAGTGTGGGTTAAACAGGCTTATGCCAGTCTATGCAAAATGAATGGAGGATCTTTTCCCCTTTTCACATTCATGCTTTGTTGTTTTTGTTTTCAATTAGAATATCGGTGATTGTATTGGTGGCAGTGAGTCTTTGTTGGATTCCTCTAATTCTCAGTTATGAAGGTGGTCAACTGTTTATCTACATCCAGGCCATAACAGGATACATAGCGCCACCTATCTGCGCTATTTTTATTCTCGCCATTTTTGTTCCGAGAACAAATGAAGCCGTAAGTTGTTATTTGATTTCTATAGTATCTCAGCATCGCATCCCTCAAACGTATTTATCGGGTGGTTATTTCCAATGAAAGTATAGCAATTTTGGTATCCCTTACGCAAATGAAGTGACGACACCACCCATGTGAAGTGTGGGTGACACTGCACTGAGACCTGTTTGAAGTGATGAATTTGATATCTGGAAAGAAGAGACACACAATCCAACTAAAAATATACTGGATTCCCTGAAAAACAAATTTGAGAGTATCCCTAAAAGGCAGCATGGCAAAAATTGCAGGGGAACGAATCACGACGAGAGCAATCAAATAGAAATTGGAGAGAGCTAGAATACGAATGCTTTGGTGGTTTGGTAGGAACTTTGTATAAATATCTGTCACACTGCTAATCGTAACAAATGAAATGAGTTGTATTTTTGTTTGTTCTTTTTTAGAAATCAATCAATTGGTTCCCATGGGCACATATGCGCAACGATTATTTCAATAAGTGGTCGAGTGGACTAGAACATTGTGCTCAGTGGCCATTTAGCCCATGGACTATACTTTAGTTTTGTTATTTTCTTTCAGGGTGCTTTTTGGGGTGTTGTATGTGGACAAATAGCCGGAATAACTCGACTTATTCTAGACTTTACCTACCCCGCTCCCGGTTGTGGCAAAGAGGACACACGACCGCTTATTGTATCTAAAGTTCACTTCACTTATTTCTCAGGAATTATAATCATTATTACAACAGTGGTTACATTAATTGTTAGTTACTGTACGGAAGCACAGCCACAAGACCAGGTATGCCATTTTTCATATCTTTAAAGAATAATGCCGACTATTCTATTAAATGCCTCACATTAATTGTTAGTTATTGTACGGAAGCACAACCATAAGACCAGGTTTTGTCAATTTTTTTTTATCTCTTTAAAGAAAACTGAATAATGCCAACTATTCTACGAATTGATTGGATAATACCCAAAAACCAACTGTTGGGATTACATAAATAAAATATGTTTATGTTAATTCACAGATAAAAGGATTAACATTTTGGAGTGTAAGAAAAATGGCAGAAGAGGAAGACAGAAATGCAAGGAATGGTCAAAGTAAAGAATCACATCTTTTAAAAGGTAAGGACCAATATCTTTAAAAAGTAAGGAGCAACATCTTTAAAAGGTAAGGAGCAATATCTTTAAAAGGTAAGGACCGATATATTTAAAAGGACCAATATCTTTAAAGGTTAAGAATCAATATCTTTAAAAGGTAAGGTAATAATATGTTTCAAAGATTAAGAACCAATATCTTTTAAAGGGCAAGGACAAGTGTCTGTTAAAGGGTAAAGCTTCTAGTTTTAAACGATAAGGCCCACTAACTTTTAAAAGATAAGGAACAATATTTGTTAAGGGTAAGGACAATACCTTTTTAAGTTTAGGGCCAATATTTGTTAACGGGCAACAACATCTATCTTTTAAAGGGTAAGACCAATATCTTTCAAAGATTAAGGTCAATATATTTATAGATTTAATGGTTCATTTGAAGCGATTAGCTTAAGAAAATAACTGAAATTACACTATTGATACGCCAGAACTTTTGCAACCCATATCTTTACGATCACTTTAGGAATGTTAATATATGTTATTTTCGTCCGACCTGAACAACTAGTTACACCATCTTTAACGTATTTATTTTTTCTCCCTCTCCAGAAAATAGATCTATTGAACGACCGAAGGATGATGATGCAGATCCCGAGAGTACTGAAGATGCACCACCGGCGAATTTAGCTCCCTTCTCTCAGAGGATAGAAAAACCATGGAATATTGTATTAGATATAAATGCTGTTATATTGTTGTTAGTTTTCATCATGCTGTATGGTTTCTTTGCTTAGATTTTATATTTCCTTCCGTTTATCTTTCTCTTTTGTAAAATCCGACAAAAATATACGAAACGAAAGTGTAATATATTGTTAATTAGATTAAATGAACCAAATTTTCATAAAAAAAGAAATTTATAATTTTTATATAGTTTAGTCTCTATTAGTTAATATATGTTTACAGTTCAAAATGAATCGCCATTATGGAGCAACATACGAAGTGCTCGTTTTGCACTGAGGTCATGCACAGGCCCATTATATTGCTCTTTTTGGCAAAAATATTACAATTCTGTCAAATTTCAGTTAAAGGTATCAACATAATAAGAACCCTGTTTATATTAATTTGAACCCTTACAGCTACAGTTGAAAAATAAAGTTCCGTGATGTAGACATTTTGATTTCTTATAGTTTGGTCTCTATTAGGCCATATTATATTCACAAGCCATTATGAAACAACATTACGAAGTGCTCGTTTTGCACGGAGTCTTGCACATGCCATTATATCTCTCTTTTAGCCAAAAACATTACAATTCTGTCGAATTTTCTGTTAAAAGTTTCAGTATTTATCCTCGTACAATGAGATCTCTGTTGATATTAAATTGAACCCTTAGAGCTACGGTTAAAGTACATATTAAACAGTTTATTAGTAACAAACGGGACATAAAGTTTTAATCCAAATATACATGTAGATGTAAATGGAAGACAACAATATAAATAAGTACCTATACCTTTCCAAAGGGGTCCAATCTGTTCCGGATTGCCGCTCGTGTTACAGTTGCCGGTAATAGGATAGGATATGCTTTAAAATGTCCAACTTATATTTAGTAATGGATAAAGCGGGACTGTACCCTCGCAGATTGACTACAACACTTTATTCGTGTGGCCTTAATGATGTGTGATCCAATCAACATGATTAAATGTGTTCTTGTATAATAAATATGTTAAGACCTATGATTATTATGTTTGCCTGTATAATCAAACCTGTGTCCCTGTATAACTATGGAACACGTGTCTTTATAAACCCTGTTTGCCTGTATAACTATGAAACACGTGTCTTTATAAACCTTGTTTGTATAACTATGCAACATAAACCCTATTTGAATGTATAACTATGCAACACGTGTCTTCCTAAACCCCGGTTTCAAAATATCTGGGTTCTATCTCAGTATGTGATCTTGTACCTGTTATGTGTGTTCTAGAATAATAAATATATTTAGGCTTTTAGAGTATTCAGTTTTCCTATATAGATAAGTCCTTGTTCAGTCCCTATGGCATTTATCCCTCTGCGGTCGCAACAGCCATGAGGGATTGTTGTATTGGTTGACAATAGGTATTTTGTCCGGGGAGGTTTCAGATTTGGATTGTTTGGGTTTATTTCGAAAACCTAGAAACTGGGTCTACATTACGCATACGATCGCCATAACACAAAGATCAGTCGCATCATTTGCATTGCCTCCTTCTGTTTGACAGAATCCCTTTGTATCGTCACGATCCAGGTACAGAGAGGATGATTTTCATCCGTTTCCATGTTATCCCTTTGTACTGAAACTTTGTTGGTTAAAGTTGGAATTTACAAATATCATAATAATAAATGGATGAAATGTGGTTTAACGTATCCCGGTCCTGCTTCAACCTGGATAAGTAATATCCTATTAATGAATGAATGAATGAAATGTGGTTTAACGTCTCACGGACTTGCGTCAACCTGGCTAATGTACCAACTTTAGTAATGATGATCGAGGCTAGGTCGAAAATTCAATCGCTGAATTCTCGGTTCAGAGTGGATCAATGACTAAAATTTTCAGCAAATTCCCTTTACATGATCCAGTGTTTAACTATTATAGTGACAACTACCAGCACTTTATCTAATCTTCCATAATGTATCTTTCAATACAATAGTCCAACAACATGCTCATTTCGCTGGAAAAAGGAAATCATTTTTTGCATTCCGAAGTGGAGGGGCGGAGTTCCTTATTTGTGCAGCTTGGTCCCATAATGTTTTTTATAAGACTTTCCTGTACATAAGTACTTTGCCCCCCTCAGTCCCTGCAGAGGTACCTTTGGTCAAATTTGTCATATTTAGATATGGACGGAGCCCATATCTCCATTTTGACCTCAAAACTCAAGCTTCCTAACTCCAAAATTAAGCAACAAGGAAATGATACGCGCGCGCATGTGATTGCGCACCCTAACCCTCTTTTGGTTAAATAAAGCAAACATCAACCAATATTTTTTATTTTTTTAATATTGCAAAAGTCTTTTGGAAATGTTTGTCAAATCGTATAAAAATTAAAACTTTGAAGATTTTGTAATTATTAAAATATAAGCATTACAGTTTATACCATAAATCGCCTTAACCTAATTTCATTTTTAAATATAAGAGTTTGGCCTAGTTGGCTTAATACTCCTATCATGGACCGTGTATAGATGGACAGGCAACGTCCACGAAGCCTTTAGAATTCTGAGCCGCGGCAAAAAATAAACCGGACAATCGTGACTAAAATAAAATTACCTCCCCTCGTGCAATTACCAGTATTAAGTTTAAAAGCGAAAAAACAGAAATCAATTCGTAATATTTTTATTAATCTTGCTACTCTTTTTTGCAACCCAGAGATAGACTACTAACTGATGATTGGAGTGTAAATGTATCAACACATTGTCTTTGTTTACTTCGGACGCGCCCATGTGAATCCGAAAAAAACATGTCGTTTTCGTTAAAAACAAACCTACTAAAACACTCTTTTAATTTTTACTTCTGCACAATTAATCATCATTCCGGATAGTATTATATGTGCACTTTATTTTCATAATTTTAAAATCCTTTATACATGAGGGAATTTGGAGTATTAAGCAAAAGCAAAATGCTTACAAAAACTACGAAAATATTGAAATCGATCATTTCACAATTTTCAACTGCTGCATTTGAAATTCGTCACTACTGGATAGAAATACTTATCGGGTTGAACAATAACCGTGTAATTATATGAATACCATAAATTCTAAGGAGGAGTTCGAGAAATTAATCTGTATAAAATCCCGCAATGCCGTTGACATTGAGATCTCGTCCTGTCTCGCGCGAGTGGCAGAGATACTAACCAACGGGACTCGTTGCAAAACTATTGCGCCACCATATTGAATTGGTGTAAGCGACCCTCGGGGACAAAAGGGCATTCGGTGAAAATGAAATGAAATGGGGTTTAACGCCCTACTGTTCTGCTCCTAAATTGGGCTAATGAAGACGGGCAGCGGCACTACGGCCTACTCTGATATCGAATTCCAACTGCCAAGGGATCTTTTACCTGCACGCCAATGTGTACAAAGGACCTCGGTTATTCGTTCCATCCGAAGGACTAGACAGCTGTCCTTGTCAGACCCTCCGTCCTTCATCACTGACAAGGGGGAAACCACGCTTGAAAATCTGGATGAACTTTCTTGGCCAATGCAGGGATCGAACACCCCACCTACAGGCTAGCGAGCGGCATTCGGTGAAGACTTAATGCCGAAGAAATGACGAATAAGCGGAACAGTATTCATATAACTGACTTTTTATCGTTTCAGCCACGTATGTATCAATCTGCTAGTTATAAAAATTAAATAGTTTCATTTAATTTTGAATAACAAATAATGCTATGAAGCGATGTGCTTCGTGTATTGACAATGATTTTGACGTGTGGCCATAAAGAATGTTACATTGATGTTAATATTAGATTTAGGCTATAAGGTGAAAATATTTATGACTCTAATTTTCAATGGTAATATAATAATCCGTTTCCTTGCATCCGAGCCGCTGGAGGGAGTGCGTGTAGTTTCATCACAGGCTATTGTTTGATCAGATTGCTTCATCCTAGATTAAGCCTAGGTCTAGACAAATGTTATTGTTTATGTTTGATAAACAATAAGTATCACCAGTTATATAAATTACTAATTATTAATGGTTTTAATTAATTGTGATCAATTCTCAGACAGGAATTATGGGATAGGGTGAAGGTCGCCTTGTTGTAAACGAAAACGACACATGGTCGATCAATAAATCTTTGGAACATCAAATCTTTATAAGAGCTTTGTAGGGAAAAAAAATCAGAGTAAAGGGGAGCAAACAGGAATTAGTAGCTCGTGTTTTTGTTGGACTGGAGTCTGATTTACCCGACAAAACAACGCAAGATGAAGACCTTCCCACTAAACCCCGAGCCTACTAATTCTCGTTGTTTGCTGGTGGAATCAAACACCCAGATTCGTTTTCTGAACTTAAGGTTTTAAAAATGAAAATAATGGCAGAAAGTCTTCGCCACCGACAATGTACTGTGATATATGTGAGTATTTCCATAACCTAAGCGGTGATTTTAACATCCAGTTAACTTTGACTCTCAATGGCTCAAGGAAGTCTTTTATCATCCATTATCCGATGATTTAAAGTATTGTTTGTATACGTCCACATTTCAGCTCACAATTTTTATCCGGTTTTGACGAAACTTGATATATATGTCTATCTCCTAAAGATCTCGGTTTCTTTCGATATTGACATGTATCGGACCATAACATCATGGATTATGGCCCTTGATTGTACGAACAATCACCTTTTAGCTTGTGGACACTCTAGGGGTCACAATTTTTATCTGATTTTGATGAAACTTGACATACATGTTTATAATCCAACGACCTTGATTCCTTTCGATATTCGCGCATATCAGATAGTAACTTTCGGACTTATGGCCCTTTATTGCACGAAAAATGGCGTTTTTAGCTCTAGAGGTCACAATTTTTATCCGATTAAAAAAACGTGTGCATATATCACCGTTACACCCTAATGATGATTCAGTTCGACGTTTGTGAAAATCGAACCAAAGGGGCCTGAGAAAATGGCCGCCACGCGTTCGCAAATAATAGTGTAAAAATATGATATATCAAGGTTGTGGACCCTCTAGAGGTCACAATTTTTATTCTGAAGCCCAGAAAATATCCTTTTAGAAAAAAAAAAACGCTTGATCGTACCTTTAACGATTGTGACCTACAGAGGTCACAATTTAAATCCTATATTGATAAAACTTGAAATATAAGTTTATAACCCAAAGATCTTGGTTCCTTTCGATATTCGCGCATATCGAACCGTAACTTCCTGAATTATGGCTCTTGATTGTACGAAAAATCGCGTTTTTTGGCTTGTGGACCCTATAGAGGTCATAATTTCTATTCCGATTTCAAAAACCGTATTATTATATCACCGTTACACCCTAAGGACGGCTGAGTTCGAATTTCGTGAAAATCGGCCCAAAACTGACACGACATAATGGCCGCCCTTAATTCTCAAATAGCGTAAAAATATGGTTTATCAAGGTTGTGGACCCTATAGAGGTCACAATTTTAATCCTATTTTGATGAAACTTGAAATGTAAGTTTATAACCCAAAGATCTTGGTTCCTTTTGATATTCGCGCATATCGAACCGTAACTTCCTGAATTATGGCTCTTGATTGTACGAAAAATCGCGTTTTTTGGCTTGTGGACCCTATAGAGGTCATAATTTTTATTCCGATTTAAAAAAAACGTTTTAGTATATCACCGTTACACCCTAAGAACGGCGGAGTTCGAATTTCGTGAAAATCGGCCCAAAACTGACAGACAAAATGGCCGCCCCTCGTTTTCAAATAGCGTAAAATTATGGTATATCAAGGTAGGGGACCCTATAGAGGTCACAATTGTTATCCGATTTTGTTGAAACTTGAAATGTAAGTTTATAACCCAAAGATCTCGGTTCCTGTCGATATTTGCGCATATCGAATTGTAATTTCCTGAATTATGGCCCTTGATTGTAGGAAAAATCACTTTCTTTTTAGCTTATTCTCTATCCATCTCTCGATAATGTGGGCGTATCCTGCCTAGCAGCCGCTGGTTCATCCCATCAAGATGTGTGCCACGTCTTACTTTGCTTCATTATAAATTGTAGTCAATAAGGGATGAAACCCCAATGAATGTTCAACGGCCAGTAAAGGTTGACAAAAAGCCTATGACAGGTGCTGAAAGAGTAGCAAAAATACAAGAAAAAAACAAGGTTCAGATTTCAAGAAATTAGAATCACCAAGAATTGAGAAAAGACGCAAAAGCAGAATTGACTCTATGACAAGGTATAAATAAATATGCTGTTGCTGAAAGAAAACGAAAGAGCAGAAAAAATCAAGCAGAAAATATACA